GGCTTGACTCAGCCACGGGGTCCGTGAGTGATGGAGCTGTGATCCAGGTTCTGCGTGGGCTCAGAGCCCAGGCTCTCTCTACCGCACCCTCCACCTCCAGGTTGGGAACTGGGCACCCTGCTTTCAGCCTCAGTTCCCAGATCTGCAATAATGAATGATGGATCATGTTGAATAAATGAATGGTTGGGTGCACCTGGGTCTTGAATGAAACATGGGGGTGCCCCCTGGGGCAGCGGATGGGGTAAAGGGGCACCAAAATGCCCATCTCGTTCAAGAGCAGAACTGTCTCTGTGACTCATTGGCCACAGTGAGCCCCCCTGCAGTTAGTAAGAGAATCAAAAGGAGACACAAAGGAACAGCCTGAAATGGCAAACAAGGAGAGATGGGTGACCCAGTGTGGGGCCTGTGGCGTAGGGCTCAGGAAGTGCCAGGCCTTCCTGCAAGAAGCATCACTCCAAGGAATAAGAGCAGCTGCTCCTAATTGGAGAGGACTCCAAGCCAGGCCAATGCCACAACCACCGCCTTCTAACTCTCGTGTCCCTCCTGTCCCCAGGAAGACACCAGTGGCGACTACAAGAACGCCCTGCTGAACCTGGTGGGCAACGACCTCTGAAGGCTCAGAAGGACAAGCGCAAAGGCCAAGAAGGCGGAGGCGCTGGATCCTGCTTGCTGAAACTTGGCCGTGGATCGGGGTGGGGGTGGGGGGGAGCCAGAGCACACCCTTCAGTCTTCTATCTCCCAGCTTCCAGTGTTTTCCAGCCAGTTCCTCTGACCCAGGGGGAAGGGTCAGCCTGGGGCTCCTACCTCTGCCGAACTCCCAAGTCGATTTCAGGTGTGAGCACATGGCCAATATCTCAGCACAGATCTGGCCTGACAAGTGCCTCCGCCTGAAGGGTCTGCAGGTGCTGGGCCTCACTTCTTCCTTCCTGCACAGAAGCTTCCTCAGCCTGGGTCTCAGAGTCCCCTCGGCGCAAGCTACAGAGAAACTCAGCCCCACCCTCATCTACTGATCTGGATCTGCAGAGAAGGGACCAGGGAGCATGGAATTTTGATACGTCTCTCAGGGGGAGGGTATAGCTCAGTGGTAGAGTGCATGCTTAGCGTGTGCAAGGTCCTGAATTCAATCCCTAGTACCTCTGTTTTTAAAAAATTAAAAATTAATAAATAAACAAACCTAATTACCTACCCTCTCCCCCCTCCCAAGAAAAAAGCTAAAAAAAA